CTGATTTTAGTGGAAATGCCTTGAGTCTCTCCCTATTTGATGCAATGTTAAATGTTGTCACAGAGAATCCTTATTACATTGCTCTAGTCTTAGCTTCTTCTGGGACTTTATCATGAAGGGAAATGGGAATTTGTCAGAAATTTTTTTGTAATCACTGAGATGATGATATGATTTCTGTCCTTGGATCTATAATATGATGTATTACATTTATTGGTTTATGATGTTGAACTGTCTTTACATCCCGGCAACAAAGCCCAATTGGTGACGGTGTATGATTTTTTTTTGATGTGTGATTGAATACAGTCTACAAGTGGGGGGGGTGTATCTTTATCTGGTTTTAATTGCAGTGTAATACCACCATCTTGAAATTAGTTTGGCAGCACTCCTTTTTTCTGATTTATATGCTACATTGAGAAACATCCATCTTAGTTCTTTATATATCTGGTGGAATTTGCCAGTGAACCCAACTGGGTCTCGGCCTGAGAAACTTCACATTTATTCTTTGATCTCACTGCCTGTTATTTATCTATTTAAGTTGTTTCTATAATCTAGGTTTAATATTTGCAGGTTTGTTTATCTAGAAAGGAATCTGGTATTTTCATTTCTTAATGCACCCTACACACACACACACACACACACACACACACACACACACACACACACGGAAGTTGGAGGACAACTTGTGGAAAGTGGTTCTCCCATTCCATCATGTGAGTTCCAGATACTGAACTCAGGTCTTCAGGCTTGTTAGCAAGCATCCTCACGACCCAGCTTTCCTGCAAGCTCAAACAGAGGCTTTAAAAGAATGCCTTAATGATCTTCTGAATTTCATTGGCACCTATTGTAATGTCTCCCTTTTGATCTCTAATCTTACCGAATTGGATCTTCTCTTTGAGTTATTTGGTTTGACTAAAAGGTTGCCAATCTTGTCTATCTTTTCAAAGAACCAACTCTTTCATTGATTCTTTGCATTATTTTTTTGTGTTTTCATTTCATTCATTTCTGACTTGACCTTTATTATTTCTTTTCATCTACTGGTTTGGGTTTGGCTTACTTTAGTTTTTCCTAGGCCTTCAGGTGCATCAGTAAGCTCTCTATTTGAGAACTCTGTTTTTTTTTTTAATGCAAGTGTTTGTAGATATAAATATTCCAATACTGCTTTACTCATGCTCCACAAGATCTAGTACGTTATATTGTTATTTTCATTTGGTTCTAGAAATTTTAAAAGTACTCTCTGATCTCCTCAATGACCATTCATCATTTAGTAGTGAGTTGTTCAAGCCCCATGAGCTATGTTCTACCGTTTCTTTTGGTGCTTATTTTATTTGTTGCAATAAGCTAGGATGTAATGGAGAGTGGGGAGGGGTATATGGTAGGGTTTGATGTGAACAAAGGGAAAGAGGAAGTGTTTAAATTAAATTAGAACCTCAGAAGAATTTTTTTTAAAGATAGGACATAAGAAATTACTTGAATCGTGTGTGTGTTGAGGGGGGGTTGTTTGTTTTGTTTTGTTTTGTTTTGTTTTATTTTGAAGATTTCTTTAGTGTCCTCAAATGTCATCTATTTTAAGGAAAGCTACACAAGCTTCTGAGAAGAACATGTATTCTGCAATGTTTGGGTGGAATATTCTGGACATGTCTGCTAAGTTTATTTGATCTGCAGTGTCATTTAGCTGTGATGTTTCTTCGATATTTCTCGTTAATTTGGTTTTGTTTGTCAGATGGCCTGTTTGTTGGTGAGAATGAAGCACTATCATTGTGTTGGTGTAAATCTGTACCATCCCACCCATTAGTGTTTGTTTTATAAAGTTATGTGTCAATACTCAGTTCATACTACAATATCCTCTTACTGTCCTGTTCCCCTAATCAATAGGAAGTGACTTTCTTTATCTCTTCCTATTAATTTTGTTTTGACTCCTCATCCTTTCCTCTTGCAGCTTTCAACATTCATCTCTGTAGTCTTAATGTTTTATTTAAAGCATGATGTGGGGAAATTCTTTTTTGTTTCTGTATGTTTGGTATTCTCAGGGTCGCTTGTGACTAATTGGTCCTCACTTTTTCTGCTTTTGAGGAGCTTTCTGCTGTGCATTTTCTGAATATGATTTCTGCGTCTTTAGTTTGAACTTCTACATCTTCTACGTTTATGTCTTTCATGGCATCTCGTAGGTCTCAAGTGTTCTGTTGAGCTTTCTTTATTATTTTGTCTTTGCATTTGTCTGAATGTTTTGTCTACTTTGTCTTCAAGCCCTGATATTCTGTCTCTCAATTTATTTTATCAATGAGGCTTTCCATTTTTTCCCTTATTGAACTTTTCATTTCCATTCTTTTTAAAAAAAATTATAATACTTCTTTCTATTGAATTTTTCTTTAATATCCTGCATTAACTTCTTTATTTTATTCAATAATTTGTGTTCTCTTTGTGATTTTTCTGGGGTTTCTTCATGTCCTCTTTGAGTTTGAGCAACATTCTTATAATAATTTTAAATTATTGTCCAGGATTACATCTCATCCGCTCTTAGTGTAGTCAATTATGGTGGAATTAGTGATGTTTCTGCATTAGGTTTTACGCATTAGGTTGGAGGTTGGATGCTTTCAATCTTACTTTTAATCATGCATATATAGTTAGTCTAAGTATTTGAAATATTCAGGTAGTAGTAGGTTATGGAAGGTTCACTATGTCATTTATCCTCACTGACCTGGGTATATGGCTAAAACCCCAGTTTGTGTGCTTGCTCTCCAACTTCCCTCCAAGAGTAGAATCCTGTTTTCATTGGGGCTATAAACAATACATAGACTTATAAAAATATAACAATAGTCAGATAAAAGCAATCGCCCTTCCTTGTAAATAATTTGGAGGAAGTAAGAAGCACAAATAGAATGTCATGTCCTAAGATATTAGTTACTTCTGGTAGGGAGGGAAGTAAATAAGCAGAGTAATACTAGAGAGTAGAATTAGAGCAACAGAGAAAATACAAGAGGGAAAGGTAAATAGGCGAAGAACAAAGGATAAAGGGAGAAGATAAGGCAGCTCCAAGTGAATATAGAATGAAAAGAGAAGGTGGTAAAAAAAATGCAGTCAGGGCTAGGAGATGGCTGAGTCAGTAAGATGGCTCATGCAGGCATGAGGACCTGAGTGTGAGTCTCAAGAAAAGCCTGTCATGGTGTCACACACTTGTAACCCCTGTGCTTAGAAAGCAGAGACAGCCAGATCTCTGAGGTTTGATGGCCAGCCAACATAGTCCAAGAGACCCTGACTCAAAAAGGAGACCCTACTTAGGTAGGTAGCACCTGAAGAATTGCATACAAGGTTGACCTATGGCCTCTATATGTATGTGCCGACATGTGCATGAACACAGAGAGAGAGAGAGAGAGAGAGAGAGAGAGAGAGAGATGCAATCAGTAACCAAAACCAATCCCAGCACTTGGGGAACTGAGACAAGGAGACTCCTAATTCCACACCAACCTGTGCAATTGATCCCTGCACGGCTTGGTGCTGACTGCCTACGGGAGGACTCGCTGGAGTCTTCAGAGAGGAAGGACACTGGGTCACGGATATAGGACCTGCCTCTGTGTGTGTTCTGTGAGCCTAAGGTATGAACGCTAGCGTTGCTCTGTGGGCTCTTACACAGATGCTATGGGCCAGTCCTGTGTGTGTTCTCACATCGATGGGGTGTTGGAATAAATCCTTTCTCTGGAAGGTTCTTCTGGAGGCACAGCAGGGGCAGGTCCTGCCTTTTGTGCTGGCTACCACAGGGTGAAGGGCAAGCCCTGGTCCTGTTTCTATGTGTCCACGGGCTCAAACTAAATTTCCATTGCAGCACACAGTGAAATTTTGAGTCACAGTTTATTCCTCTCTCTGATCTAGAGGTATGCTGCTGCCAGCCATGTTTCAGTCTACCTGTGACACTTGCTGTGTGTTCCTGGTGTGCAAGGAGGGAGCGTTGGTCTAGAACTGGGCCGGTGACCCAGCAGGGAACCTCTGAAGCTGACTCCTTGCCACTGCTTCTATAGAGAGCCTCTTAGGATAGCTGCCCTCCACCTATCTCCAGTGTATTCACCTCTGGGCACACTTTTCCGTCGCTGCATTCCTGAAGTCATTAGCAAGCTCCAAGATTGCTTTATTTCAAAAGCTGCTAAGTTATCAGTGTTGTGGGAACTTTTTCTGGGGAGATGAGCAAGCAGCTATTCATCCCAGACAGGAAACCAATGGCAGAACAAATAAATGGTTCCATCTACATCTAGACTGGCGAGCCAGGGAGCTGAATAGGGGGTTACTCGGCCGAGAACAGGAAAGTTATAAGCAGCTGAACAAAATGTTTCTCCCCTGCCCCCAGGAACTTATAACCTTTTCTCAGAGAGGGGCAGGGCTTCCTGAGACCCTCACCCTCAGAATCATTAACTGCGGATAAATTCTCAAGGAGGGACAAGACCTTATTAGCACAAACATGCACACCTCAGCAATGGTTACCTATAAATGCTCAGGAAGGGGCAGGGCCTCGTGCGTCGCTCTCCCACTCCATGATGAAATCTTGTTCTGGTCTTTTGTGGGTGGGAAATCACAGCTGCCCAGAGTTCAGAGGGCCTCCAAGACAGCACGCTACAATCAGCAATTTGTACTGGAAAGAAACCATAGCAATTTTTTCGTGGCAAAACCTAGGGAGCAAGAAGCACAAAGACCATTTACCTGGTCCTTGGATGTTCTTCAGGTAGAAGAGGATGGTAATTTGGATCAGAGCAGAGCACACGGGGAGATACTCAGGGGTGAGGTAGGGGGACCAGTAGGCTCATTCTACGCACAGTTGAAAGATAGGACCAACAGGTTTGGGTTATGGATTTCAAGCAGAATAGAATTAAAAAAAAAAATTAGAAGAAACAAGGAGCAACTGGAAGGATGAACCATCCAGCCTCGGTATCTTAGGGGGAATAACGCGTGGAGGCTATGGGACCCTGTGCTAGTGTCTCCAGAGCCAATACCTATCTGTTTTTTAATCCTTCTGTCAGGTACTTCTTTAACTGTGACTGCCTCATCCCCCTCAAGAGGAAGAGGAAGTACTTCAAGGTGTTTGAGGTTACGAAAACGACAGAGAGCTTCGCCAGTAGGATCCAGAGCCTGGTGCTGGTCAAGTATGAGGTCATCGTGACGACGGGCTACGAACCAGGGGCGGGCACTGACGCCAACGTCTTTGTAACCATCTTCGGCGCTAATGGGGACACCGGAAAGCGCGAGCTGAAGCAGAAAATGCGCAACCTCTTCGAGCGTGGAAGCACGGACCGCTTCTTTCTGGAGACACTGGAGCTGGGAGAGCTGCGAAAGGTCCGACTGGAGCACGATGGCAGCGGCTACTACTCGGGCTGGCTGGTGGAGAAGGTGGAGGTCACCAACACAAGCACTGGAGTGGCCACCATCTTCTCCTGTGGCAGGTGGCTAGACAAGTCTCGGGGCGATGGGCTCACCTGGCGGGATCTCTTCCCATCTGTCTGAGATGACCTGGCCACCCCTTTTTACTTTCTACCCAGTGTTCAACAGCCATCTCACCAGCGCTCCAGGGGTGGCATCTAGGGCAGCAGACCTGAGGCCTCATGTCCATCAGGGGCTGCTCCTTGCAAATGCCTGTTTGTGGTACCCTAGCCTCTGCCTTCTCCATCCCTCGGACATACAAGAATTCTCATCATCACGTGTCATAATCCATGACTGCACAAACCACCTTTTTTTTTTTTTTTTTTCCTTTTCTTGTAATAGCAGTGGTGCCCAGGCCAGGACTTGCTGCAGGGTGTGGATGGAAAATTGGGGCTTCACTCAGGGGAGACAAGTGGGGAAGGAGAGGTTATCAAGATGGTGTATTTTAAGCAAAAACTAATTAACACTTATTTCCCAAAAAAGCTGGGCTAATTAAATTATTACCAGCCACACCCCAGAGAGAACGAATCTGTGTGCTAAGAAGTGTATGTTTTCTTCCCAGTTCCAACAAATCCAGGGGCAAGTGCAGAAAAACATCAGGAGGAAGTGTTGGGGGACATATGAGTCTGTGAAAAGTAGATAATTCTTCCTACCGCTGTCCAGAGACCAAGAGAAAGGAGCTTACACACACACACACACACACACACACACACACACACACACACACCCGTCTGCCTATCTCTGTCTCTCTGCCTGTCCTGCTCTGCTCTTTTCAGCCCCTCCTCCCCATCACAACACGGGCTAAGTTCAGAGCCCACACCACTTCTCTGCCACTTCCCCTGACAAGAGCTCCATGGTGGTGTCTTTGGGGCAGCTACTACCCCAAAGACTAGGGCAGGAAGGGTCTCTTTCGTGCTTTCATTCTGCTAATGATGTGTTCCGTAAACGCTGGCTCGCCGCTCTTGGAGCAGAGCAGGCCTGGCTCTACCATATACCATGTATATCCAAGTCTCTTGCTTTCTTCAACCTGTCCTGCTTACTTTACGCTCCTCAGAGGGCTGGCTTGCCGGGACCTGATGAAAACGTTACTGAAAACTCCCAATTAAACTATTGGGACTTCTGTTGATTTGGGTGTACTTTTACCCACAGGGTCCCTCCTACCTCTCCCACTCACCCCTTTCCCCAGGTTCCTGAGACCCGGACCACTTCTACCTTGGGGAAATCAGTTACAGCTCTGAGCCCAGCCCACTGCTCGCTAGCAATGCCTCACAATCTCCTGTCCTTCCTGAGCCTCTCCTCTCTGCTAGAAGTGTCCTTGTTGCCCATCCACCCCTCCATTTCACCAGGCCCAGTATTTTACACTCTTTGTCTCAACTCAAGGTCTTCATTCACTGCCAGTAAATCTTTCCATTTTCCCTCCCTCATGATAGATCTGGGAGGCCTCATGTTGTGCCCACATCTATGAATGGTATGTTGTGGGGGATTGCCTCTCTAACTAGACCATGAGTCTTCAAGAAAGAGCCGGTCTAATTCATCTTTGTAATCTTAGAACTTGTCATAAGGCTCAAGGAATAGTGTGTGCACTAAACCCATGTGGTACTGGAAGAATAGTATATGGAAGGAAGGATGGAAGGAAGAAGGGAAGGACAGAAGGAAGGATAAGTGAGTAAATAAATGTGTCTGTTAAGTGGGTGGTAGATGGAGAAGACAGAAGGAAGAAAAGATGGATGGATGGATGGATGGATGGATGGATGGATGGATGGGATAGTGAGTGAATGGATGGATGAATAGATGGGATAGTGAGTGAATGGATGGATGAATAGATGGGCTACTGAGTGGATGTATGGAAGGATAAATGGGATATCGAGTGGGTGGATTGAGGGGTAAATGGTTGAATAATTGGTGGATATGTAGATTATAAGTGGCTGGATAGGTGGTTGGATATGCTGTAAGAGGGTAAATGGGTCTATATAACAAATGAATTCATTTCAGTACTTAGAATACCTTCTCTGCTGAGACTTGTGCTGGCTCAAGATTTTGAGGATGCCCAGTTTCATCACTTCTAGCTAAAATTCTTTCACGAACAAACCATTCTGGATCCTCCAATTATTCCCCAAGAACCCTTCCTAGCCACTCTAGGTCATTTCTCCAAAGACCTAATCTTCTTGCAACATAACTCTTTATTAATGGAATTCTTAAGTTCATTAATACCAGATTGGAAATTGTATTTGGAATGTGCATATTACATATCAGCTGATAGTCTTCGTGAACTTACCCCTGGAGTGTATGAAAGAAAAGATTGCTCAGGGGGATCTCATGTTAAGCCCTTTGTCTCAGGGAACTCCTGTGTGCTGCTGGGGCCAGGAAAGATGAATGCTAGAAGTCCTGGTTCAGCCTAGAACTATTCATTACTTCAACATTTACAAGACCTCAGCTATCTTACTTACTTTTCTATCACTGCACTAAGGCACCATAACAAAGGCAACTTACAGAAGAAGGAGTTTATTGGATTTATAGTTTCAGAGGCTGAGTCCATGACCACCATCGAGGGGAGCATGGCAGCATCAGGTATGGCACAGGAGAAATAGCTAAGGGCTTACATGTTGAGACAACAACCACACAATAGACAGAAAGCTAACTGGGAATGGTGTGAGTTTTTGAAACCTCATAGTTGGCCTCTAGTGACACACCTCCTCCAAAAAGTCCACACCTTCTAGTCCTTCCCAAACAGTTCCACCAACTGGGAACTGAGCATTCAAATACATGAGCCTATAGAGGCCATTCTCATTCAAACCACTAATCCAGGCAATACTGGGGGAAAGAGTAGTGAGCAATAAAAAATACTCTTCCTTTCTGGTATTTAAAGTCTATCAATTAAAAATTATAAATAAACCTATTGTGTGTCAGATTAAAAACTTAGAGCAAAGAAAAATAAAATATGGAAAAGATATAACTGGGGTGTAGGCCCACTTTAACTCAAATGCTGGAAAGATGACATGGAGTAAATCAGTCCCTAAAGGAGAGATAACCAGTCATGTCTTTACCAGAGGGAAAAGCCCTCAGGACAAAGGGAACAACAAGGATGAATTTTGAATGTGGGAGAATGTTAAGATGACCATGTGACAGAGGCAGTGTAAGCTTGAAGGAGCCAAATGTTTAGCAAGGTCAGTAGTGATAAACCCCAGAAGACTTTTGGAGCACCTGTAGGTCTCTGCCATGTCCTTGAGCAGCAATGGGATGCTACTGGAGCTTATGCGCAGAGGATGGTACAACCTAACTCACATGTGGACCTTACCAGACTGCTGCATTGTTGGCAGTAAGGAAATCCAATAAGAGGCAGTGACAGTCACCTAAGCAAGAGAAGAGAGTCACTTCAACAGGAACAGGAACAGTTACAGTAAGAGTAGTTCAGAATGGTCTGGAAGGCAGAGCCACATGCTTCCCTGAACAGCTGAACATGAAATGTGAGACCTGGGGCAGAAGCTGATGAAGGCATTTTTGCCTGTGCATCTGAAAGAACGGACTTAACGTTGGCTTGTTTGTTAGAGATAAAGTCTCATTCTGTCACCCAGGATGGTCTGAAACTCACAATGTAGCCCAGAATGTCTTTGAACTTGTGGTGATCCTCCTACATCAGCACAGGTATGAACCACTACATCCGTCTGAACCACCATTTCTTGACAGAGAAGACTATAGGAGGCATGGGCTTGAGGTCTGCTGGTCTGCTTCATAAGTGAGCAGGAAATGGGAACTACCATTTCATCAGGGTAGAGAAGCAGGCAGTTGAAGCCAAGTACCATGTTCAAGGTAGAGAGCATCTTTAGTGACATACTCAGATAAAGGAACTCTTCCTACACCTTCTACTTCCTCTGGGCATCCATGGACAGCCCTGGAATATGACACTAAGGCTTGAATATGAGGTAAGAGTCTGGATCAAATCTTGTGTCCTGATTCTACAACCCTGGGCAAGTGACTGAAGTTGTCTTTGCCTCCATTTTCCTTAGAAATGAGAAACTAACTCAATGCTTTAAGTAACCAGCTTAGCAGGTTTACATGAGGGCTTCAGAAATGTAATCACCCCGTCTCTGAGCCAGTGACTAGATGCTCTGCCATTGCTTTCCTACTCTATCCAACTGTAGCCTCTACTGGAACAAGAATCAGAGCAAAGCCCTTCTCTCCTCAGGCGACCACAGCCTGGAAGCCACCCCCCATCACTGTGGAGGAAGAGGTGACCTGGTGGCTACCAGGGTGACTTCAGCCTCAGGAGTAATCAGGTGACATAGGGGCAATGTGACAAAGACGAACATAGATTTCAGGATTGCCATGCTTCCTCTTCTCTTGCCAGCTAGTCTCTTGCCTAGTAAACACACACCTTGACTTAGTCTTCCTGTCTCTTCTGGAATCTCTGGGCTCCTGTCCACACATCCTGTCTTTGAAAGAAGACTCCCCTGTCCAGGGAACTGATTCTTTGTAGCAACTGGTGAGGCTAAGATGCATCCTCCTCTCACTCCACCCATCCTTCTGGAAAATTATAGAAAAAAAAAAAGTTCTATAAAGACCTTAACATTACAGAACAGTCTGGAAATGCCTTTGGTTACACCTGCATACCCATGCAGTAAGCATGGGTGAAGGAACACTCTAGCCCAGCGTGATTGCCACACTTTATTCACAAACTAGGCTTTTCTCTACATCTGTCATGGAGTCAGCATCCGGGAGCTGAGTGCTTTGACCTGTACCCTCTCTCTTGCAGAATGGCCCCACCCTCTGTCCTCAAAGTCGTATCTTCAGCCCACTGAAGGACAGCAGCCCTCTGTGGCCTTGTAGGCTTGTGTGACCATTACTGAGGCTCTCATCTTTTCTCCTGATCAGTGGTCCTTACACCCATGCAAGAAACAGAACAAACTCCCCAAGAGTCAGTAGAGTGGACATCTCAAGGTATAGAGTGAGGATGTGCATGTTGAAGGAAGGTGTGCAGCTAAGTGTGGTAACCCATGTCTCTGTCCTAGTGTTCAGGGGGCAGAGGCAGAGGAGGCTAGCCCGCTGTAAGTTTGGGGAGTTCCTGGCCAGCCAGGACTACGCAGTGA